TTCTAAGTTCAGAGTGGTTCCATTTGGGATTGGCGTCTTACTGCCATGGTTACACAAAGCTCAGTTCCGAGGGTGATGGAGCTGTCAGTGCTGGAGTGATGAGAGGCTGGACCCCAGGCCCACTGCTAGTGGGGTGAAGGGTGTGAGTGAGTCCATCTGTCCTCAGGCAGTTGATTGTTCAGTGTGTCTGAAAGTCAGGGTCTGTAGGAGCCATTCTTTAGCATCAGGTGCCCATTAAAGACTCCTCTAAGACATCAGTGCTGGCTGGCCCCCACTGTCTTTCCCTTCCTGTCCCAGGGCATGAGCAGGTGAATGGGGACTAGTTAAGCCAGCAGAGAAGCTAGCTCCAACTCACTTCATAAATTTGGCTGAATCACTTCACCTCTCTGAACTTCAGTTTTCTCCTCTATAAAATGTTTATAACTTGCTGGATTGTGATAAGGACTCCATGGACCCCAGCTCAGAGCCTGGCATTCTGCAACTGCTGGACCATTATCATCATCACAGTGTTCCTATTCAGAGGCAGCCAATAGTGCCTCTTGAATGATGTCGCCGACAGCCAATTGGAAAGCTCCTGGGCCCTTCCAATAGTGGGGCTCCCCCATATGACCTATAGCCTGCTTTCTCAGGAGTCTTGAGGCTTTGAATGACAATCTAGTGTTGAGGGGCATTGGATGGGAGCCCTTCTTCTCACCAAGGCCAAACCCCACCCCCAGTTCAGCCATTCTGGCCACACCAAGTTCCCTGGAGCAGGTGGCCTTTCTGTGTGGGCTGAGGGCAGTTGACCAACATCACGTCTTACTGAGGTGTGGCAGAGCCTTCTGCTGGTTTCCTTCCCTGTGATAGGGGTAGGAGGCTGAGATAGTTGCTTGGAATGATGTCACATCAAGGGGGGGCTTCTCACTTCGTGGTCACCAACATGGAGGTGCAGGTGGGCCCCAAGCCAGGCATTTCCTCATTCCCCACATGGTCCCAATAGGACTGTCTAGTCTTGATGTTTTCTGTTTAGAAAATGAATGAAGACAAGATCAAATGTATAACTGTCCAGCATTTCTCAGTAATAACAATGCCCAGTATGGCTTATGAGTGCATACGCCCAACAATATTCTGTAAAACATGAAATGTTGGATGTCCTTTGTTTGTGCTGATAAATGCATTCATTCACTAATCAATGAACATTAGATGCCAAACCTGGGCCTCATAGAGTTAGAAGTCCCTGACGTGTATTGGCAAACCTGATAGATGAACTTGTTTTATATATCTGTATGTTTTGTGCTCTTATTCTCTACTTGTGTATAGTTATATTTTGTTTATATCCACATTTTAAATAAGTACCCAGTAGTTTGTGGAAACTCTCTCTGAGCCCGCAGAGCTGCTCTCTGGTGCTCAGGATTCTACCCCGTATCCACAATCTTATGCACGACCGCTGAGCACACCCTCCATCATCGAATTTCTCTCTCTCTAGTGGTTCTTGGCAAGCTAACTGCCCCTCTCCAGCCCCCACCCCCAGCCCAGGTGCGCCCACCTCATGGCCATGACATGTGTTCTGCTTGGACAGGTTTGACACGCAGCTGGCCCAGGTCCTGGGCGAGTCCGTGTTTGAGAAGGGCCTCCGCGAGAAAGTGACCCAGGAGAACACCAGTGTGCGGTGTGAGCTGGGCAGGCTGCAACAGTGCCTGGAGGTGAGGGGCGCATGCGCAGGGCCACTGGGCCTTTGGTTGCTGGGTCTCAGGACCCCCCCCCCCCCGCACACTTGCTGCAAAGGGAGATGGGAGAGAACTTGGTGTGAGTGTCCAGCTGGCTGGACTCCCAGGGCCTAGTGTGCCTTAATAAAGCTAACCGTGGGTGGTGGGTGATGGATAATCAGACCTCTCTCCCTCCATGTCACTCATAATCTTGCTTCGGTCTCCTGCATGAGTTTTGAGGTGGTCCCCTGGAAGGGCAAGAGGTTTGGCACAGAACGAGTTAGCTGTAGACCCACCTCGGGGCAGTGCCCTGTCCCCTGCGGGCTCCAATGTGGAGGGATTTTATTAAAATATGACACAGGCCTCTCACTCATCTGCTCCTCAGCCTGCTGTGGCTCCCTCTTACCCCGAAGAACCTTTAAATCCCTTAGCCTGGCGTGTGGCTCCTTCATGACCCAGCCCAGAGTTCTTTGACTCTTGAGCTGACTTTCTAACCTTGAAGAGTCATTTCTGGCCACTTTGCCTCCCTGCTGCAACATCTCAGGCCCAGCCTTGGCACGTACACAGCTTACACGGGGGAACAACATTTCTTGTTTGTGCTTTAAGGTCTTGCTCTAGGGCAGCGGTGCTGCTCTCCCACACACACCCCACCCTTGCCTGTCTGAGCTTTTCTGGAGAGAGGACCTTGGTGTCCCACAGGGGCCACGGTGAGGGGCTGCAGGGCCAGGTGGATGGCATGCACTGAAAGTGGACAGCGCCTACCTGCAAGTTGTAGAGGTGTCCCCAGGGGAGGGTGGTCACGTGACTCCAGATCTCTGCCCCCCTTTATCTCTAGCAAAAGGAGCAAGAAACCCTGCAGCTGAAGCGGGAGGTGGAGATGCTGCAGGCCCATAAGCAGGAACTGCTGGGGTCCCCCTCTGTGGGGGAAAATTGCGTCGCCAGCTTAAAGGAGAGGCTCTGGAAGCTGGAATCCAGTGCCCTTGAGCAAGAGAAAATCCAGAACCAGCAGGAAAACACCATCAAGCAGCTGGAGCAGGTAGGAAAGTCCCGTCCAGGGCGATGCCCTGCCCTGTGGTGACTCCAGTGCAGAAGGCTGTTATTAAAATAGACATGGGTTCCTACTGAGCTGCTCCTTGTTCCCCTGTAGCTCCCTAGTACTCCAGAGAGCCTCACAACACCTCAGTCTGACATTCAGATCCTTTATGAGCTAGCCCACTCCTCCCATCCTGCAAGCATCCGTGTCACCTCCTCTGAGAAACTCGCCCTGATCTCTTTCTTGAAAACAACCCCACCCCACGCCACATTCACTTCCCACCCCCCTACCTTGTAGCAGCTGCCGTCATCTTCGCTAGTGTTGTTAGAATGTGCTCAATGAGTCTCTTCCCCCGTTAGAATATAAGTTTCAGGAAGGCAGGAATTTTTGGTTCATCTGGCTTATCAGAGCATTCCCAGAGCCTAGAATGAGAACAGGTACATAGTTGGTACTCAGCAAATAACTGTTGGCCCAGGATCTGATATTTATTGAGCACTGTCTGGATACCGGACTCAGCCCTAAGGTCTCCTCATATATCACCTCATGAATCTGCATCAGAAATCGATGTGCAGTTATCAGTCTTATCTGCACTTTACAGATGTGGAAGCTGAGGCGGGGAGACAGTGGCGGGGATGGGACTTGGAGTCTGCTCCGTCTGACTCCACAGGGCCTCGAATACCTGCCTCCAGGAAGGTTGGGATGGGAATCTTTAGAAAATGCAGCGTAACTAAGGGGAACAAAGCAGGAATCAAATACTCTTGTACCAGCTCCCTCAGCGAAGCGCCAGATGAATATTTTATGTCTGCTTGTTTGTTTATCTGCCCAATCATTCCACAAAGGATTTGAAGCAGCTTATAAGATGTATGCATAATAAAATAGAGAAAATATAAATAAAACAAACCAAACCAGAAAGACACAAATTAAAGTCGGTGCTAAGGAAGGATGGAATGGTGAATTACTGTGCAGACACGCACAACATATACTCTTACACACATAATAGTTTTAGCTCGGAAATTCCTGGTGGCCAGAGAGAAAAAGGAAATGTGAGTTACGTGCTTTTTATCATCCCCAAGATGAAAATAACCAGTTTTTCAAGGGGAAACAAGTCTTTTCTTGGTGCTTAGCTCTAAAAGGAGTTTCATAAAGGGGTAATTACTCTAAGTGGTGTTGAGGTTGGAACTCCTTTTTCAAAAAGGTCTGATCAGACAGCATGAATATGTAAAGTGGATAAGCTCTGAGCAACTCTGGTGAAAGGGATGACGGGGTTGGAGGTCGAGGGGAACCTGGGGTGGCGGCCTTTGCTTCTCACTCACCACCCCCTCTTTTGGGATGGAGCCTGTTGAGTACTGAGACATGGCTGTGGCAGGCATGGAGGGAGAGGCTAGAACAGTTCAGAATACAGGGTTTCTTTACTCAGTCAAACCCGTATTTATTAATCACCTACTTTGTGTCTGGCACAGTGCAGATGCTAGGGATACAGCTGTGAACAAGACAGATGTGAGCTCTGCTCTCTGGAAGTTTATCATCATGCTGAGTGCTATGGCAAAGTTTAACTTGCAGATCTGGTTTGGGGAGAGAGTTTGGGGAAACAGTCAGGGAAGACTTCCTGGTGGAAGTGACATTCACTGAATCTGAAAGCTGGAGCATGAGTCTGAGTTGGCTGACCAAGAGAGTTCCAGGCTGGGGGAACAGCCCGTGCAAAGGCCTGGAGGCAGGAAAGTCAAGTGACATTTAAGGAACTGCAAGATGGTCACATCTAGATGGTGTCTGGTGACGTTTGGGAAGCCCCCTGTTTTCTCTGGACTCCAGTCTCCTCATCTGTACAGTGAAATTGGAGCCTTGTCAACCCCCTAGCTTCCCCCAACCCCAGCTCTGAATCTCTGAAGGTTCTCAAAGGAGGTGGGTTATCTGTGTAGGTTGTTAAGGGTCATAGACGGCAGAACAGCATCGCATGGCAGCCCAGGGTGAAGAGTAAAGCAAGCACTTTGGAAAATCGTGTTAATTCTTGAAGATACCACGAGGGGACCACTCAATGCTCAGAAGCAGAGATGTGCTACCATGACCTCAGGGACCCACAGTGGATGCAGCTTCCCGGGTTCCACCCTCTGCATCCACACGAGGCAGAGCTGACTCAACACTGTCATCCACCTTCAGCTTCACCCATAACCCCCTGCTGCACTGGGCTGCTGTAGACATCCGGGAGATATTTATTGATTACAATAAAGCACTTTTTCCAGGAAATTTTATGTTAACTCATATAAGCTTGACACATAAATGGTATTGCAGATGTCAGGAGTGTCCAGGAGGCTAGGAAAAAATGAAAAAGAAATATTTTATTTACTTGCTTAAGCTCCTCATTTTGGATTATCTTCCCATAACCTCTGTCATTTTAAAGGAGGCGAGGAAAGAAATTGGCATCTAACGTGCGCCTCCTTTATGCCAGAAACTGCAGGAGGGGCTCTGATGCACGCTGCTCTTCCTCCTCTTCACCACACTCCTACATGGTAGAGAATATCATCAACGTTTTAAAAAAAAAAAAAGGTTTTTTTCCTCAGCCAAATGTCCCTCTTAGGGACAGCGGTTGGAACCTCCTGCGGGCTTGCTGAGAGGGGCCGGGCAGTGCTGTGAATGGTCAGAGCCTTGCCATCCGTGCAGTCTAGCTCTCCTGCGGTGTTGGGCTCCGGTGCTGCTCCGTGAGCCACAGCGTGAAGGAGTATAGATCAGTGACAGCTCAAAAGTCCAGGTTCATGGTGCCTGTACCCTAGAGATTCTGATCCAGTAGGTCTAGGGTGAAGCTCTGAAAGTGAAAATTTTAAAATATGCATCAGGTAATTCTAATGTGCCACGAAATTTGAGAAGCAAGAACTTGAGTCAGTCTCTCATTTATGAAAATCAAGAAAGTAAAATTTTGAGCTAGAACCAGATTCTAGACTTCTGCCTCCAATTTTAGAACCTTCTACATAAGATCACGCAGTTTCAGCAGCATGCTCAGCTCTTTTCCTACTCTGAGCAGGATTTGGAGGCTCTCATTTAAAAGTCTTGTCTCCTTCACGGGAACACAGGTCTTTGTTACGTCAGGCGTCCGGGAAGGGAGGGAATAGTCCTTTTTCTCCGTTTTCAAAATAATGGGGAAAGAAAAATAAATACCGTCTTTGTGCCGGGTGTCGTGCTGGGTGCTTTGCATGGGCCGTCTCAGTTAGTTCTCACAAGCGCACTCTAAGAGGGCTGTTTTCTAGAGAAAGGTTGCTTATCAGAGGCGAAGTGAATTGTCAAGAGAACATCTTGAGCACATTATCTCCCTCTCCACGATTTCCTCTCTTTCTACATAAACTTTGATTCTATCACCTATCCACCCACCTAAAAAACACCGCTGATGCCTGCTGCAGGGCTGACAAATTCATTTCATCTTAGGAGTGTTGAGAAGGATTCCGAGGTTACATCAGAACTCAATGGAAAAGAGTGTGATTGATTAGTGACGCTTGTGATGACCCTTGGAAGGGCTAGAGGCAGCATTTGGGCTACTTACCTACCGCTTCTGCCCTCCCTGAGCCTGGGGGGATAACTTGACTCATTGCACTCCAAAGATGAAAATGCAGCTGAAATGCTGAGGGTAATACAGTTGGTGTGGGCCACCCTCACATGCTGTCCTTGCTGCCCCCAGCTCCGCCAGCGGTTCGAGCTGGAGATCGAGCGGATGAAGCAGATGCACCAGAAGGACCGTGAGGACAAGGAGGAGGAGCTGGAGGACATCCGCCAGTCCTGTCAGAGGCGGGTATGTGAGCGCGAGCACAGCTGTGCCCCTGCGTCCCGGCAGGTCCAGTCTTGCTGTCTCTTCCCTAGAGTGAGGGCAATTCCAGGGCCTGGGGACAGCCGATTTCTGCAACCACCCGAGACCCTAGCTTCCTAGGTGCTTTCAGGGGTGCTGGAGCAGAAGTCCCTGTCTTAAATATGATTCTGGAACTTCTGGAAGCTTCTGGAACTGTCCAGCATAATCAGCCCAAGATTTCTACCAAGAGCCCATAGTGCCATGTGACTGATGCCTTGGGGAGGATTTATGTGTTTCAAGAAGGGGACCAGTCCTTTCTGGCTCTTTGCCTTGCAGATCTTATATTTTACCCAAGGTCTTTGCAGACATTTCAAACAGTGTTTAAGAGGTAAACAAACTCTTGAAATCCTGCCTCCGGGACACCATGATTATTCCTGTTTTTCCATGTTCTTTCATCTCTCTCTTTCATTGTACCACACATACGTGTTTGTAGAGATACCCTTTTACCTAGGTGGGGTCATACGATTTTGAAACCTGCTGTTTTCACTCGGAAGTTTGTCCTGGGTCTCCTTCCATATCAGTCAATTCAGATCTAGTTTACATGTTCAAAAATATTCCACCGTAGGCATATGGTCTCTAATTTATTCAACAAGTCTACTGTCATTGGACATTTAGGATTTTCTGATTTTCTGTTATTTTAACCTAGACAAACATCCATGTGGAAGCTTTCACTGATGTGAATGTAAGATGGATCTTTAAAGTGGGATTGCTGCGAAGCTTTAGGTTAAGTGTCATTGAACAGGCTTTGCAGGACTTCTCTGGGCCTTTCGTAGCCTCGTGTACATTGTGCATCTCCAGAAAGGGCCGAGTAGCCTTACAGAAAGGTGAAGTGACCTCCCCCAGGTTACCTCGCCATGAAGTAGCCAAGCTGGGACTTGAACTTAGGTCTATCTGACTCCAAAGCCCAGTTTCTTAACCAAAATAACTAGGTTTAATTTTTTTTTATTTTGCAAATGTTTGGACTATGGAAGGCCATTTAGGAAGCACTTGACAGAAGTCCACTTTGGGCAGTACCTCATCCTTTAGTGCTTCCTGCACAGGGACCTGCCAAAGGCTCTGATAAGTCCTGCATGCAAGACCTCTTAACTCAGTGATTTTCACACGTATCCTAGCATGGACTTCCCACCGTCCCCCGCACACCCACAGCATAACTGGGAACACCACGTGGGAATGTTCTACCGGACAGACTCCAGAAAACTTCACCTTGCTTGGTATAGAGTTTTCATTATTTTGTATATTCTTCTAAATGAATTTCAGCTTTCACAGGTTTCATTTTAAGCAAGTATGAGCAGAATTCCTAGTGTCTTTCACTTATAAAAGGAGGTTTTGAAATGAAAATGAAGTTTCTTTTGAAACAACCATCAGTCAGTACTTTTTTTTCTCTCCGTGGGTCAAGAAATGGAAGCCCCCAGCCCCTGCCTGTGTTTCCGCACGTGAAGGTGGCACCGTTTCTAGTGCATTCCAGGAGGGCCTCAGAGCAGCATGAGTGCCCTGAGCCAGGATCCTGATGTGCTGGAGATGTGACCCAGGCCCTCGTGAGGCTTTTCCATGGACAGATTTGTAACGGGGGAGAGGAGGTCAGAGAAGGTTGTTTTCCTCCCATGGCAGATGCTAACGTTGACTGCACATCTAGCAACTGCTCTGCTTGGTCTGTCTCTCACCATGGCAGGAAATCAATTGTTAGCGACGTAGGTGGGAATACTGATGGCTGTCCGGTGTGGCGGAAGAGCTGGGCCAGGAGACGGAACACTAACGGTTCTCAGCAGCAGTTGACTTAGGAGTCTGTGCTTCAGGACATCTCTCTGACTCAGTTTGCCCACCTGTGAAATAGAGTCATTGATAGCACAAGATGGAGCCAGGGAGGAAGGGGCGAGGCTCCACACATGGGAGAGGCTGGGAGGAGAGAAGGTGTGCAGAGCACGGTGATGGTGGGCACACACCCTTGCAGGCTCTTTGTGGGTGATTACTGAGAAGTCAGAGCC